AAATTTTCCACCAACCCCTTAGGTCTTCTACCAAATCTAATGAAATTTCTCCTACTCATGGGATATTGGTTTTGTGTTTTTTATTGATCCTGTCTAGGTTATGATTAATGCCAATTAGCTCCACGTCAGAAAGGCTGGAATTTATTTTCTTTTTGAGTTTTCTCACGATTTTACTTAATGTAGTCATGTCTTGGAATATCTCTGATCTATTCTTTTCACTTTTCTTCTTTCTTTTATAGTTTGTTTCTAATGGGACTTTCTTTTTGGAGATATTTTCGATTGCCGCTTGCATTATGCTTTTTTGTATAATATCCTATATCTCATCACGACTTTGAGAATCTAATTTAACCGATAAGTTTTCTTTTTGTAATAGATCATCTCGCCTCTTTCTATAATTGTTCCAATCCTCTTTTGTTGCTGCATCGTAAATAAAAATTGTTCTTGTTTTATGTAGTCGTTTTGATTGAGAGATTCTATAATTTGAAATTAAGTGACTTAAATCGATTGAGGCTTGGATAAGCTGATGATCACTTGCTGTACAGCAACTCATATCTTCAATTGTTGCATTAGTTAGTCCTGCTACTAATACTTCAAAGATCCAAATTTGATCAATTCTTGAGCTACTTTGCATGTTTAACCAAGTGTAACTTCTGTCATCTGGATACAAAAATCTAACCATATCTTTGAACTCCTGACTTCTAAGCCACCTATGTAGCGGTAGCATTTTGGTATTTCTGTTACACAAATGACTACTCTTATCTAATAATAGATCTATCGTGTGATTAAAATTGCCCATAATTATAAATTGTGTGACTGATGATCTGTCGAAAAATCGCTTAACTATTCTCTGTTGTATTGACTTGGTTGTATTTTTGTCATTTGGTGGAATATAAACCACCATTACTATAAGTTCTAGTTGTTTAAAATAAAAGCTCACTTCTAGTAAATATTCACTTGATCTATTCACTTTGCCAAAGTGTTTTTCCCAGTCCTCTCTTACCAATAATCCAACACCTGAGCCTTTAATTTTAGAAATCTCTGTTTTTGACCAAAAGCTTCTATAAGCTGTATCTCTTTCTATTGCAATAAAACCCTTCTTTTCACTAATATTTGTCTCTGCTAAACCTAAAATTTCTATCTCTTCTACAACTGCCCAATCAATTAAACTATCTAATTTACTTCTGTTTTGTCTTAGCTCATTAATATTGTGAAATGCAATATCTAATCTAATTTTTTCTTTTTTTTGTATCAAAATTGACTTATTGGTATTTAATTCCTGGAGGTTAGATTCTACCTGAATATGAGTTCTAACTACTTCTTGTGATCGTGATGCCAGGCCACCACTTGTTTTTATAGAGATGCCAATAGCAACTTTCAGGAAAAATTAGAAGCATCCACTCCTAAGTGTTTTCTCTTAATTCGGTCTAGTCTACCTAAAATCTCTTCTAAAATTGATCTGTAATTTTCCCCTTCTGCTTTGCTTTCATTTTTGGTTACTTTTTCCTTATGAATCATTGATAACTTGGTTTCTTCTGACTTATTATTTTTTTTGTTTTTATTATTATATACTGATGTGTCCTCTATCATAATATTCTCTGTTTGTTGTTTGCTTGTAGTGGTTCTACTTTTTGGTCTATTTTCTTGATTGCTATCTAACTCTCTGTTGAACTTGTGAGAATAGTTTAACAAACTAGATTCTTTTCCTTTGCTTTGCTCTTTAGATATCTTTTGATCATATCGTGAACGCTTCTCTTTACTATTGAAACTATTCTCTTCTTTGTAGTGGCTGTAATTGTTTAGTACTCTCTTGTTGCTTGGATAGAGTGAAGGCTGTTGCCACTCCAATTTGGTGTTATAATAATGTATATTGGATTTTTGAGCGAGTACCAAATCTTCTTTATTTTTGAAGTAAATATGAGCCCTTCTACTTTGATTTCCATTACGGTTTGTTAAAATATGGACTGCCTGCACTTTGAATTTTTTTAATTGTTGTAAAAGTAAACTATCTAATGCTGTTTTAGGTATGTTATATATTGTAGCTTTAAATTTATTT